ACCACTTGGGCCGCCTTGGCCCATCTTGGGCCCATCTTGGGCCGTCTTGGTGGCCTCCTGGCCCGTCTGACGCCGTTGGAAGCCGTCTTGGGGCCCCTCTGGGCCGACTTGGGGCCCTCAGGGCAGTCTTGGAGGCCATCTTGGGCGTATTGGAGGCCTCTTTGGCCGTCTTGGGGCTCCTTGGGGCCCTCTTGGGGGCCTATTGGGCTGTTCTGGGGTCATCTTGGAGGTTTGGGGCCATCTCGGGGCGATCTTTGAGGCTCTTGGGCCGTCTTTGGCTGTCGGAAGGCCGAAAAGAAGCGAATGCCAAAATCGATCAGAAATTTAAGGAAAAACAATGGTGTTGGCCTCTCGGGCCCCTCTTGGGCCGTCTTGGAGACTTCTTGGGGGCCTCTTGAGCCGTCTTGGGCCATCTTAGAGCCATCTTGGGCGTCTTGATGCCCTCCTGGCCCGTCTGACGCCGTCGGAAGCCGTCTTGGGGGCCTCTCTGGGCCGACTTGGGGCCTTTTTGGGTTGCTCCAGGGCCGTCTTGGAGGCCATCTTGGGCGTCTTGGATGTCTCGTGGGCCGTCTTGGGTCCCGGCTGGGGCCGTCTGGGAGGCATCTTGGGCTGTGTGAGGTCATCTTGGAAGCCTTGGGGGCCATCTCAGGGCGATCTCGCGGGCCTCTTGGGCCGTCTCGGGCCGTCGGAAGGCCGAAAAGAAGCAAATGCCAAAATCCTTCAAACACCCACGGAAAACCAATGATGTTGGCCTCTGCGGGCCCTCCTAGAGAACGTCTTGGGGGCGTCTTGGGGGCCTCTGGGGCCGCCGTGTTCCATCTTGGAGGCTTCTCGGGCGGACTCGGAGGCATCTTGGAGCCATCTTGGGCCGTTTTGGTTGCTTCTTCGGCGGACTTGGAGGCAACCTGGACCATCTTGAGCCATCCTGGAGGCCATCCTGGGCCAACGTGACCATCTTAGAAGCCATCTTGAGCCGTCTTGAAGAATTGTGTCCGGACGTTGTGCTCTTTTGGGCGCCTTCCGGGTGGCCAGCGGGACGGGCCGAAGCACCAGGAGGAGCTCTTTTGGGGGAGAAGAACAACAACCAAAAGCGGTAGGATCTAGCATGCCAGGCACCTTTGTGGCAAGCCAGCAGGGGGCGGCAGATCGAAGACGCCTACGGCGAATCACCGCCGCCGCCTGCCCTTGTAGAAGCGCCTACGTGGCCGACAATTGGGCTAGAGCTTGGCCAAGCTATCGGGCAAGTAGTTCCTCGAGTCGGTTTGGAAAGCCTTCGGGGAACGCGTGGGGGAGCAAGAGGTTTGGATTCGTCCATGTGCCCGAGCGTTGTGGCAAGCGCTCTGCCAAGCTATCGGACCATGTGTTCCCCCAACCGTTGTGTTGGGGAGCACTTTGGGTAGGATGGCGGGGAAGATCAGTAGGAGGAGGAGGAGGAGCAGCAGCAGAAGGAGGAGGAGCAGCAGAAGGAGGAGGAGGAAGAAAAACAATAGGAAGAAGAAGCAGAAACATAGTATTAATAAGGAAGGGAATAAGAATAATAATAATAATAAGAAGAAGAAGAAGAGGAACTAATAGTAAGAAGAAGAAGAGGAGGAGGAGGAGGAGGAGGAGCAGGAGCATTTTGGGAGCACTCTTGGTGCCTCCTGGGAGCTTCTTGGGAGCCTCTTGGAGGCATCTTGGGGGCCTCCTTGTGCCTCTTGGGGGCCTTTCGGGGCTTCTCGGGTGCCTCTTTGGCCGTCTCAGGGTATTCCTTGCCCTTCCGACGCCGTCGGAAGCCGTTTTGGGGGCCTCTCTCGGCCGTGGGCCGTCTGGGAGCCCTCTTGGGGCCGTCTTGGGGGCTTCTTGGGCCGTTCTGGGGCCGTCCTGGAAGCCTTTTGGGCGATCTTTGGGGGCCCTTGGGCCGTCTCGTGCGGTCGGACGTCCGAAAAGAAGCAAATGCCACAATCCTTCAATAACCTAAGGAAAATCAATGAGTTTGACATATTTTGGCTTTCTGGGAGGCCCTCTTGAAGGCCTCTTGGGCCGTCTTGGAGGCCTCTTGGAGACCTCCTGGGAAGTCTTGGACCATCTTAGAGCCATCTTCGGCCGTCTCGGTGGTCTCCTGGCCCGTCTGACGCCGCCGGAAGCTGTCTCGGGGGCCTCTCTTGGCCGACTGGGGGCCCTCTTGGGGTGTTCCAGTGCCGTCTTGGGGCCCTCCTGTGGCGGTCTTGGGGGCCTCTTGGGCCGTTCTGAGGCCAGACTGGAAGCCTCTGGGACAATTTTGGGGCGATCTTTGGGGGCTCTTGGGCCGTCTCGGGCCGTCGGAAGGCCGAACAGAAGCAAATGCCACAATCCTTTAAGCACCTCAGGGGGATTAATGATTTTGGCCTCTTCGGGCCTTCCTGGAGGCCCTCTTGGAGGCCTCTTGGGCCGTCTTGGAGGCCTCTTGGGGGCCTCTTGGATAATTTTGGAAGCTTCCTGGGCGGACTTGGAGGCATCTTGAGCCCTCTTGGGCCGTCTTGGAGGCATCTTGGAGGCATCTTCGGCCTTCTTGGAGGCCATCTCGGGCCAACGTGGCCATCTTGGGCCATCTTGACGGTTTGGGGGAAATTGTTGATTAACAGTTAGCGTTGTGCGGGCCCTTCCGGGTGGCCGGCGGGACGGGCCGAAGCCCGAGGGGGGGTTCTTTTTGGAAAAAACAACGACCAACATCGCAAGAAGCTTAGCACGCCAGACACCCTTGTGATAAATCAACAGGGGGCGGCGGATCGAAGACGCCTACGGCGAATCACCGCCGCCCCCTACCTTCTAGAATCGCCCATGTGTCCGAGCGTTGTGGCAAGAGCTTTGCCAAGCTATCGGACCATGTGCTCCCACAACCGTTGTGGAAACCCCTCGGGGAACAGTTGACGGAGGATGGCGGGGAGAATCAAGAGGCGGAGGAGGAGAAGGAGGAGGAGGAGGAGGAGGAGGGAGGAGGAGGAGGGAGGAGGGAGGAGGGAGGAGGAGGTGAGGGAGGAGGGAGGAGGGAGGAGGGAGGAGGGAGGAGGGGGAGGGGGGAGGAGGGAGGAGAAGGGAGGAGGAGGGAGGAGGGAGGAGGGAGGCCTCCAGACCACCCCTCGCGAGGCCCAGAGGGCCACAGGGGCTCCAAAAATTTGACGAAAAGCGGGTGGGGGGGCCCCCTTGGGCCAGGGGCACTTTTTGCAACACTCGAGGGGGGCCCGCCGCGCCGCGGCCTGGGGCCGTGCTGGGTTCGCCGCGGCCGCTAGCGTGCCCGCGGCGGCGCCTGGGGGCGGCGGGCTGCGCCTGGCGGCCGTCGGGGCTGGTCGGGGCCCGGCGGGCAGAGCTCGGCTGCAGTCGGGACACGGTAACAAGAGCGTGGATCAAGAATACATGAGGAGGGGTCTTCGGGCAATATTTGGGGCCTCGTGGGCCGCCTGAGAGCGTCGGGAAACCGAAATCGCTGAATCATCCAAAAACAAAAGGAGAATCAATGAATTCTGCCTCGTGGGGCCCTCTTCGGAGGCCTGGAAAACTCTTCGGAGGCCTCTTGGGCCCTCCTGGGGCCTCTGTAGGGCCCCCCTGCGCCCATTTTGGGGCCCTGCTGGGCGGGGCCACTGTCCCAGAGGCCCACGCGACGCGCCCCGGCAACGCCCGGGAGCGCCCCGGAGGGCCCGGCGGTGCCTGAGGAACGGGGGGTCCGGGCCTTTTCGATTAGACGTAAGAGTGACCTTTCGCCGGAGTGACCTTTGATGCGGGCACAGGTGGGCCCCCAGATGGCTGAATGCGACGCGGTAGCAGCGGCTTGCGCGCCCAGGTTTGGCCACCCCGAATCCCCCGTTGAGCCGCGCACCAGAGGTCACTCTTGTCTAGGGTCACTCTTGCGTGTAGCCGGCCTCTGAAGAGCTGTTGAAGTCCCTGGACTATTTTTGGACGATTTTTTTTTATTATTTTTGGGTCATGTTTTATTTTTCGTCGAAAACCCCCCTGTAGGGGGGCAGGCCCGACTTAATCCGAGAACCATGGAGCCCCCCGGGGCTGCAGGAGCCCTGGGGCACGCCACGGCGTGCTTCGAAGGCACGGTGGCAGACTTGGTTCTGTCCCGTCGCATCAAACAGGTCGGTTGGGCAGGCCGGGCGTTTCGTCTGATCAGTATCAGCGAACGAGGGGTTAGTTTTACAACAGGGTCGGATTCCTAGCAGGACGACCCCCCCCCCCTCTGGACCTCATTGCGAAGCTTCGTCAATCTCTCCAACTCTACGACGTCGCGTTCGCCGATTAGCGGCGCTCGCGCATGTTTATCATGACCCTTTCATGGCCCGACATTATCGTATGGCGTTTCCTGATGCGCGCGTTGTGTCGGCTCAGGGCGTTGCCCTTCCCTGTTGTTATTTCCCCACAGATGTTTCGTTTAAATTGGAGTGCGATTTGTTTGTGGCCGTAGAACTTGCCGAACGCCGATGAGGGGGTTTCCGTTTGGGCGTCCCGTTGCAATCCCCCCCCCCCACCTTGGGTTGACGTTGTTTTGCCGCCCTTTTGGCTTCGCCTGCCGATGGCGAACTCTCAACGCCCTCGCTAATTTAACTTTTCGATTGTGAAACGTTACACGTCCGACCGCCGTCGAGCTCAAAAAAAAACAATGACGAACCATTCAAAACTATATGCATGCGGCATGTTCATGTAGTAGCACACACTATGTTCATCGTGTTCATGTCCATGTTCTTGTCTCAGACCATGTTCAGGTCAGGTCCAAACATTTTGTCCCGTGCACGTGGGGTATGTGCATGATCACGTCCATGTTCATGACCATGTCCATGTTCATGACCATGTTCATGTTCTCTGTAGCATGTGCATGTTCATGTCCATGGTCATGTTTCAGACCTTTTGTCCCGTGCACGTGGGGATATGTTGTGATTTGGAATGCAATCTTTGGGGGGGGAGGTTAGGTTGCCATGGGCGTTGTGGGCTGCACGGGCATCCTCGAGGGATCATTGCACTTGGCGCTGCTCTTCCGTTTGCAGGATCGCACTTGCCATTCCAGAGGCGCGGACAGCCATTTTGGTTTATCGCGTCGCGCCCGTGTTAGAGGGCACCCGCGGCGCCTTCGGGGCCCCCGCCATGCCAGTGATGGTGCCCATATGTGACGTGGAGCACGTCTGGCTGGACAGAGACAGGTTCCGATTTTTTTTTTGAGCTGATCATTGCTGGCAGGGTGGACACTTCGTGTGATGGGCCTCGGAGTTTCTCGTCGCCGCTCGTGGGGTTGTGCTCCTAGGGTGTGAGGGGTGCGCACGTTGCTCCGATAGGGCGGTTGGTTTTCGATGTGATCTGAATTGCATGTGAGGTCGGTCGTCGCACGAGCATTGGTTTTCCGAGGCAAGTCTATGAGGCGGTGGGTTGATGTTTCCAGCAACGTTCTCTCTCATGTTCGCTTGTTGCACATATATACTTTGAGTTGATGAGGCTATATCGCCCCACAGTTGTTTTATCTTGGTGTATCTTCTTATCTCCAGGTTGCCATTTTCGCCCAAGCTGTATTGCACACTTGCGCATTGGGCTCCGATGCCGCCGAAGCGGAAGCGAACCGAGAAGCCTAGGACCGATGGCAGGGGCTTGTTTGCGAAGGCTCGCAAACACCTGAACGCGCCCAAGAAGGGCTGCCCGCGGGCCCTGGTGTTGGCGGCCACTGCCGGCCAGGAGGTGCTCGATATCTTGGAGCTCGACCCTTCGAAGGCGCACGAGGCGCTGGCCAGTCTCAAGACGAAGTCGGAGGTCAAGACTGATGACAAGTCTCCGACCTGGCCTGGGCACAAGCGCATCAAGCGCATCCCTCGGTATTGGATCGCGTCCTACCTTGTCGCGGTGAGCAAGGGCAGGATTACCGCTGATCACTGCGACGCCATCAACGCGAAGCACCCCAACTTGTTGAGAGATTTGTTCCACTACATGCATCAGATTTCGGAGAACACGGAGATTCCAGAGAACCTTCAGGATAAGAATATGTTTGCAGCTGCCTTGATGATCCGCCACGAGAAGTTGGGTAGCCGCCTCTTTGTTTGGCTCGACCGCAAGACCTTGGACTTGAACTCGCTCGACTTCGACACCAGCCGTGGCCTCAGCTACCAGGTGACGTTCGACGATGGCTATGGCGTGGATGTCGCTCACATCTCTGGACAGCGCGGCCATCTCACTCCTGGGCGAGTCACGTCGGCATGGAAGGTTCGCAACAACGATTCGGACGTCCTTGCTGACCTCAAGGGCGGCGCCGACACCACTACCATCGCCGAGCTGTTCGAGGATGGCACGGTTCCACGGTTTGCCGTGGACAACCCTCCCAATGAGCACTTGCAGGCTCTCGCGGATGAGCTCAACCAGAAGCGCGATGAGGTGACGGCCGCAACCAGCGTGAAGATCGAGATCACTCCAGATCTCTTGAAGAAGTCTGAGAAGCAGCGCCACGATGAGATCCTCAGCAATGCTCGCAAGAGGTTGACTGGCAAGAGGACCGACGAGCAGAACAAGAAGGTGTTGGCGTTGGATGAGGATGAGATGAAGACTGAGCGCAATCCTGTGAAGCCGAGCTCGTCTGGCGCCGCACCAGCCGTGTAGAGTACCATCTAGTTTACCATTGTATTTTCCAGGTAGATTTGATGTGCTTGTCTTCGAGGCTCTTGGGCTTAAAAGTTCCACCCATCCCCATTGGCAGCGAGGGTAGGAGGGGGGGCGATGACGGGGAGGACGAGGGAGGACGAGAGAGGATGAGGGGGTAGATGGGGGCAGGAGGACGGAGGAGGAGGGAGCAGGATAATGAGGGACAGGGGAAATTACGATGAGGACGAGGTGGAGGATGAGGACGGACGGAGCACGGAGGACGGAGGAAGTTTCTCTCCTTCCTCTCCTTCCCTCCTTTCTCTCCTTCCTATCCCTCTTCTCCCTCATATCCCTCATCTCCCTCCCTCCCTCCTCTCTCTCTCCCTCCTCTCCCTCCTCTCCTTCCTCCCCCTCCTCTGCCTCCTCTCCCTTCCTCCCTTGGTCTGCTGACCCTGTAGATGGCTCTGCTGGCGCTGCCCCCGTGCCTTCTCCCCCCCCCCTTCCTGCTCCCGTGCGTGGATTTTTCGAGTGGCATCTTGAGTAAACCACTTCTCTGAACATGGCCATGTTCAGAAAAAAATGGTTAACTCAAGATGCCGTTGATGCGATCGTATATGAAAAAAAACCATGCTCCACGAATCCACTGCCCACTCACCAAGCGCCCCTCTCTCGGTCAACCCCCGCTCCTGCAGATGAGGGGCGGGAAGAGGGAGAGGGGGGAGGGAGGAGGGAGGAGGGAGAAGGAGGTACACTGGCACGCGGATCCTCTTCTTGCCGATGATGTTGCCACCTCATCTCGACCTCCTGCCCATGCTCCCAAATACTGTTCCACTCTACTCTCCTCCTCCCCCTTCGCACTTCGCTCGACTCTCCAGCCCTTGTAAAAAAAAGCTTCGACAGGCACATTGGTCGTTGGTACCTCGGCATCTCGACCTCCTGCCCATGCTCCCAAATACTGTTCCACTCTACTCTCCTCCTCCCCCTTCGCACTTCGCTCGACTCTCCAGCCCCTGTAAAAAAAAAGCTTCGACAGGCACATTGGTCGTTGGTACCTCGGCAGCCGCTTGACGATGGAGAAGGTTCCTCTCGTGGCGCCTGCCGACCCCTGGGCGCTTGGCTTTGCCGAGGACCGCCAGGGGGCCGTCTTAGGGTAACGAGGGCCCCCCCCCTCCTCCTCCTCCTCCTCCTCCTCCTCCTCCCCTGTCCTTCCACGTTCTCTTTCTCCTCCCTCTCTTCCTCCTCCACCTCCTTTGTTCCTCCTCCCCCTCCTCCTCCTCCTCCTCCCCATGTCCCCCCTCCGCCTTCCCCCCCATCCGCACCCCCCTCCACCTCCCTCCCTCCCGCTTCCAGCAGGACGGATCGGGGCTCATCACGGACGGCGCGAACGATTGCATGGTGAGCGACATCCTCAAGATGAAGGTTTTCTCCAAAGATGGCGCCCCTTGGATGAGGACGGGGGGGGCAAGGTTTGCTGCAGATGATTTCTTATACCCCCTCCCCAATTCAATGCTCCTCCGCCGTGGAGTTGATGGGGAACGGGAGTGGGGCGGGGATAAGGGGACAGGGGGCGGGCGCTAGGCGGCCGGCCTGGCGGGAAGACGGGGGACGTGGGCAGGGGGGGGCGGAGGCGAGGGCGACGGGGACGGGGAGGTGCAGGCGGAGGAGGAGAGCGTTGGTCTGGGGGGGGGTGCACGTCAGCAGCTTCTGCAAACCTTAGGGCCCGCCCCAAACAAGGAATGCGAGTGGGACGTCGATGGCATTGGATACATATCGCACAGGCTTCAAAAAATGCTGCGCTGACGTCCAGATTGGCGAAACCTTGGCAAAATTCCCCCTGAAGTTCGCGCTGCACACCACTGTCCAGAACAGCGGCGACGAGGCCTTCTGGTCCATGTGGGACATCGTCGATAACCTGAGCCTTGAAGCTGGCGGTCGGGATCGCGCGCACTATTGCAATCAGATGCGCCGCGCTGTTGCGATTCCGCCAGGCCCCTCCAAAACGGGGCTACGCGGGATGGGATAAGGGGATTGAGGGTCGGAGAGGGGGCGGGGAGATGGGACGGGGGGAGATGGGAGGGGATAGGGGGGACATCGATGAACTAGACGCGGAGGTGTCGCATGAGGAGGTGAGGAGGGATGGGGGGGGAGGGCCGATGGAAGGCGCAGCGGGGGTGGGAGGGTGAGGAAGCGGTGCGAGCGAGAGGGGATGAGTGGATGGGGGTTGATGGCGAAGTTGGATGGGGAGGCGGCGTGAGGGACGCCCAGACTGTCGTGGGGAGGGCGGTGGGGGGGGGAGGGCTGGGGGGGGTGGTGGAGGTGGGGAGGGGATAGCGGGAGGGGTGCTTGGGAGGGGGATTGGACGGGATGGGAGCGGGGAGGGGAAGGAGGTAGGGAACGTCTCACTATTTGTTGCGCTTGGTTTACCTTCCTCGCGAGGGTGAGTCGGATCATTACTTCGAGCGTTGACCTTCTGTCGAAATTCGCTTTTACGGGCGGCGCTCGCTACGCTGCGCCGTACGCCAGCTCGGTCGCCACTGGGGCAGGCGTGATCCGTGTGGCGCCGTGGCCGACCATGGGCACCAGAGCGCTCCTTTCTTTCTTGTGCCAGAAAGCTTGGGCGAAGGGCCAGAAGAATGGTGGTTGTCGCTACGTTGGGGATGCACAAAAGTTTAGAGATCTATTGCACAGCTTCTGCAAGGCGAGTAGCGGCTGCCGCCTCAACCTCTTTCACGCGAACTACGTTAAGAACCAGCGCCAGATGACCACAGGTGACCTTGCCTTCGTTGTGCACGTGAACGTAGATAACACAATTGGTTCCAGACTTTTCAAATTACCTGAATCGGCTGATGATGGTACGGCGAGCTACTTCAACGCGCAGCACTTCGCAGACGACGATGCCGACGTCGATCTGATGAGCGTGCTGGAGGTGTACTTCTCGAAGGCCATCGGATCGGATGGCAACGAGCGCGCATTCGTGCAGCTCGTGGACCAGATCAGCGCGCGCGTGGAATACAAGCTGGGCGCCTATACCTGAGCCTTCGGCTACATCCGAAAACGACACCTGGCCTTTCGCCCGCGCTGCCCTCCCCCCCCGCACATGCCAGGGGGGTGGAGGGAGGATCGGAGGGAAGGAGGTTGGGGAGGGAGGCTGAGGAGGTGTAGGGGCGAAGGGACTGGGGGGCAAAGGATGGGGAGTGGGAGGGTAGGGAGGGTTCGGGGGGCGGAGGCGGACGGAGGCGAGGGGCTCTTCGCCCTCCTGCGTGCCGCGGGCGCGGGGGGGGAGGAGTTCCGGGTGGGGGTGGGGGAGGGGAGGGGCGGAGAAGAGTCGATGGCCCCCCCCTGCCCTCCCCCTCGTGGGGAGGGCAGGATGGAGGGAGGGAAGGGGGAGGGTGGGGTGGGGGTTGCCCCCCTCCGCCTCCCCCATCGCCTTCCTCCGATCGTGCGCCGACGCCCTGTGACCGAGTGTCAGGTGGATATGGCTTGCGAGATCGAAGACTCGGATATGCGTGGCGTCGTTTCGGTTTCAGCGCTGGGCTGGCGCCCAGATGATAAGCACGACGTCAACCACATGCTCCTCCAGCACAACCAAGCCTCCTCGGAGGCCCTGGCGAACTTCCAGCACGGCGGCCTCATGATGGACAAGAGCCGCGTCTTCTCCTCGGGCGTCACCAACGGGGCCTTGATCTTGCCCTGCAACACGGGCATCTGGATGATGCCGCAGGTGCGCAGTGCGGGGCATGCAAATTTTGAATCCGATTATGGGTAGGCACAACTAGTAGTAATGTGTGGTGTACCTTGCACACGTGAACATACACATAACATATGCGAACGTACACCTGCACACCATGAGGGTTCTGGACTCCCTGACACACCGATTTGTTTGGAGGGTACGGTTAGCATGGTAGCCGATGTTGTCATATGACATACTTGGGCGCCGCCCACTACGACCCTACTTATCTGAGTTATTCTCGCACACACGTTGCATGCATCCAACAAAAAATATGCTTTCGACGAACCCGAGATTTACAGCGCCTCGCGGCCTTATTCCGCCCGCCCCTTTGCGCTAGGCGCGCGTCCAACGGCCTCGAGCCCCCCCCCCCTGCGCCCCCCCGCAGCTTCCAATGTGACCACGGGGCCCCGTGAGGCCTCCCAGGTGCTCCCATAGGGCCCTTCTGGATGATAGAGTTGCGTTGTCCAACCGCGGCTGCGCCCGCTGAGCGGGGCGCCCCTGGACGCACGTTTCCCACCGTGCGCCCCGCGGGCTTTGCGCATGCCCAATTATCAATGCAGCGCCCTCGGAACACAGTCCAAACCACCCAGGACTCAAGCAGCCCCCCCTCCCCCCGTCAGGTCTTGCGGCAGCGCCGACAGGCCCCTGATGGACGCACAAGTAAGACGCGGGTCTCTGAGGGCTCAAGGGGGCCCCTGTCACAGAACCGCGGCAACGCGGTAAGTCTCGGGCGCAACAGTGATATGCAGATCGAGCAGGGATCAAGTTGGGCCCTGCGTGGCTCTGCTGTAATGTAGCCGTGGCGCACACGGTTCGATTTGTCCTGTGCCATCGGGGCCCGCACGCCAGTAAGTTGTTTGAGATCCGCTCGCAAGCCTCACTAGGTAACCGCAGTCACGGTCTTATAAGATTTGTCTAACAAGTTGAGGGTGGGTGGGTGAGATGGTTGCTCGAGCATTGGACGTGGTCGGTAGCGGCCGTTCAGTCACTTGATTCAGCCTCTAACAAAATACTAGATTCTACCCCCCTCCCCAGCCCCCTCCCCCCCCCCCCCCCCCCCCCCCCCCCCCCCCCCCCCCCCCCCCCCCCCCCCCCCCCCCCCCGCCCCCCGCAACACCAAACCACCACCATCACCACACCACCACACCCCCCCCACCCCCCCCCCCCCCCCCCCCCCTTCCACCCTCACCACCGCCACCCCCACCCCACACACACACACCGCGGCACACACACACACACACACACACCACAAACACACACACACAACACACCACACACACACACACACACACACACCACACACACACACACACACACCCACCCCCCACCCACACACTCGGGTCACCCCACCCCCACCCCCACCGAGGGCGGGATTATCGCGTCCCTGGGGTGGTCTGATTTCACACATATATGTATATTATGCACTTGGCGTATCAGCAATCGCCACGGGGCGGCGGCGCGGAGTGGGGTGGTGGATTGCGTTGGCGGGTGTTGTTGGTGCTAGGTTGTGTGGTTGTTGATGTTTGTGGTGTGTGTGTGTGTGTGCGCGTGTGCGTGTGTGGTTGCGGGTGGTGGGGTGTGTGTGCGTGTGTTTGTGTCTGTGTGTGGGGGAGTGTGTGTGTGTGTGTGGGGGGGGGGGGGGGGGGGGGCTGTCGCGTGAGGGCGTGCATGTGCGTGCGTGTACGTGCGTGCGCGCGCGTGCGCGTGTGTGTGGGTGCGTGTGCGTATGCGTGTGCATGTGTACGCGCGCGTGTGTGTTTGTGTGTGCGTGTGGGGGGCGGGGTTGGGTGGGTGGCTGGTTGGCGGTGGTGGTGGTGCTGGTGGTTTGTATGTGTGTGCGTGTGCGTGTGCGTGCGTGTGTGTGTGTGGTGGCGGTGGTGGGGGTGGTTCGGGGTGGGGTGTGGAACCCTCGAACTTAGCAAATACGTCTGCAACGCGCCAACATGATTCTACTTGGCGTTGAAACATTTTGGGGCCGCGACCCCCCCCCTCCGCTCGCTTCACGACGCCAACATCCTTCTACTGTGTTAGAAACAGGTTGGGGACGTGAAGCCCCGAACTTTGCACACACATCTGCACGACGCCAACATGGTTCTACCGCGTTAGAAACACGATGGAAGCGCGCGACCCCGAACTTACCAACGATCTCTTCGCGAAACAAACATATTTATTGCGTTAGAAATATGTTGGGGACTCGAATCCTCGAACTTGGCAAAGACAACATCATGGCGCCAGCATGCTTCTACTTGGCTTTGGGATATGTTGGGGCGCACCCCCTCCCCCCCCCCCGCGTCACGACGCCAACATGTTTCCACTGCGTTAGAAACATGTTGGGGACGCGAAGCCCCGAACTTAGTAAATGCATCTGAACAGCGCCAACATGATGCTACCGCGTTGGAAGCATGTGGGAAACGCGCGCCCCCGAACTTAGCAAATACTTCTCCACGGCGCCAACATGTTTCTACTGCGTTCGAAGCATGTTGGGGACGAGAATCCTCGAACGTAGCAAAGACACATGCACGACGCCACCGTGCTTCTACTTGGCTTTGGAACATGTTGGGGGAGCGACCCCCCACCCCGCTCCACGAGGCCACCGTGTTTCTACTGCGTTAGAAACATGTTGGGGACGCGAAGCCCCGAACATTACACTTACATCTGCACGGCGCCAACATGATTCTACTTCGTTAGAAGCACGTTGGAAATACGCACCCCAGACGCGACGCGCCGAGGCGGCAGGGGGTACTCTGCCACAGAAATCCCCCAAATCGCGTTCATACAGTCTACACCATGCTGCGGAGTTGAAATTTTATGGTTGCCCGTGCCGCGCTTCTGGTAGATTGAAACATATCGCAGAATCGTCGCGGCGACTCTCCTCCCCGATCCCCCTATACCTGGAAATTTCACCCGATGCATTTTTACAATTCAACGCAATCTTCAATTACACGATCTTTAACTTATGTTGTTCTGAATTTAACTTGCCCAACACAGCTCAGGTCAACTGAACTCAACTGACCTTGACTTAATTTTAACTTAAGCCTTTTCTTCA